GAAAGCAAAAAATCATTAAAAAGACAGGAAAGAAAGAAAAAGACCAAAATGGATGTCAGAAGAGACTCTGAAACTTGCTTTTGAATGGTGAGTAAAGTGAATGAAAGAAATGATGACGTAAAAGAGCTGATTTCAAAGGGGAGCTTGTGAAGACAAAGTATTATAATGAAATGTGCAAAGACCCGTAGTTAGAAAATCAAAAGGGAAGAACACACTTGGCATTTCTCAAGCTGAAAGAACTGAAGGAAAAATTCAAGTCTCTAGTTGCAATATTGAAGAATTCTATGGGCAAAATATTGAACAATGCAGGAAGCATCAAAAGAAGATGGAAGGACTATACACAGTCACTGTATCAAAAAGAATTGGTTAATGTTCAACCATTTCAGGAGGTAGCATATGATCAAGAACCAATGGTACTGAAGGAAGAAGTCCAAGCTGACATAAACAGACACTCAACAACACAAAGAAAATTTTCAAAAAAAAGAAATGCCTTCTCATGAGGAATGTTCATTTTTACACATCAATCAAGTCATATACAGAGACAGTAACAGGGAGAAGAGGGTTTTGATGTACTAATTGGCAAGAAGAATCCCTCTTCCTTTCTAGGGAAATAATTTGACCAACCATAGCCTTCTTTCCCAGAAACAGCTGCCTCAGTCTCCCAGCTAAAGAGGAAACCGTCCTCTAACATAGCACAGACCACAAAAACAGTTAGGGATAAATAATCAAGGCTCTGTTGTTGTTGTTGTTATGTGCCGTTGAGTCAGACACGACTCATAGCGACCCCTCCTTGGGTTTCCGAGGCAGTATCACTATGGAAGTAGATTGCCCCATCTTCCTTCCCAGAAGTGGCTGGTGGGTTTGAACCTCCAGCCTTCTGGTTAGCAGTCAAGTGCCTTAGGCACTATGCTACCAGAGCTCTCCCAATCAAGGCTCTAGGTCTGAAATACTCAGTTTTTCAGGAAAAGTTGGTTATTTTAATGACCCCACCTTTAGTATCAGTCTCTTCCTACCTCAAAGAATTCTGGAAGCTCAATCTCCCCTTTCCTTCTCTAATCCAAAAGGAGCTGAGTCTTCTTATACTTTTTGTGGTGTTATACCAGTTTGCCATGGATTCCTGATGGAAACTATACCAATATATGTATTTCCTTAACTGGTAGCTAGGTAGCTTAGGTGAAGGAGTCCAGCCATCCAGGCAGGAGGAAGAAGAGTTAATGAAAATGAGAGAGAAATGCTATCAAAAAGCTTGTTGTTGTTGTTGAAGCTAAGAGAACTTTATTAGGGACTCAATGAAAGGAATGACCAAGGTTCAAAAACAATTAAAGGCCTCATATGGTACGGCTCCACCCATCAAGGCAGTCTTATTTCTTGTTACTCCTGCTCCAGTTCTATCACTGACTGGCTGTGGTAACTTGAGCAAGTGGCTAAAACCTCTTATTGCCTCAATTTTCTCATCAATAACATGATCTCCAGAGGGTTGTTATGAGGATTAAATGAAAGAATACATCAGTGGGAAACGGGAATGCATGAACATACATGAAGTGCCATAACAGGGCCTGGTACCTAGTGAGTTCTCAACAAACATTAGCTCCATATATAGTGTCTCCCAGAGTTGCCTGCTCTAGCTAGCCTGCACATCTTCATAAGATTCCAAGTCCTTGTTCATGATGTTCCTTCTGCCTGGAATGCTCATTCCTGTCTCCTCCACCGACCCATGCTTCAATATCCTATTCTCCACAAGGTCTTCTCTGTACTAACATGGCATTTACTGCTTGTTCAACTCATCCTGATTAAGCAACAATGTTCCTTTGTTAGTTAACCTTTTTTTTTTAGTTAACCATTTTATTCTTTATGTCTACTCCTCAAGGGAAGAAGCTGTTTCTTAATCTCTTAAGTGTTTTTCAGGGCCTAATACAGATCTATACTGTAGGCGTTCAGTAAATCCTGCTTTAGAAGGCAGGAAAAGGAAAGAAGGAAAGGAAGAGAAAAATAAATAAATAACTGGATTATGGGTGATGAAAAGGTCACTTGAACCTTAGAGCAGCTCTAGTTTCCCAACATGCCTAGAGGTCTCACCAAGGTTATCAAAAAAAGGCTCTGGAAATTGTCAAAACAAGGTTTTTTAAAATTCTACTTTAGTTCTAAAAATATTTAAAATCTGTCTCACAGAATTTTCTAAAGAAAGGAGTATTTGAAATCACTTACAGGTGCAACTCAACCCCAAAAAGTTTGGGAATCATTGACAATGCTTTTAGCAGAGTGGTGAAGAGAAGCAGAAAGCAGCAAAGAAAATGAGAAATGGACACAGTACAGAAAACAATTAAACATTTACACTGGTTGGACACATACACTGATCATGTCAACAATCCTGTCAGCGAAGTATCCTTATCCCCAGGTATGTATGACTTCCAAGTAGCCCTTGTGGTGCAAATGGTTAAGTGCTTAGGTGCTAACTGAGATTGGAGTTTGAACAACCCAGAGGTTCCTTGGGCAAAAGACCCGGCAATCTGCTTCCATAAAGATTACAGCTAAGAAAACCCAATGAGATGGTTCTACTCTGTCACATGAGGTTGCTATAAATCAGAATGGACTCAATGGCACCTAACCACAACGTCTAACTTCCATGCCATGCTCTTTCCCTAATCCTCATTGCTGATTTTGTGGATGAGAAGAGGTGGTACCCGGCCACGTGAATACATTGGCCTACTTCATGGAGATGATGCCCTTTCCTGCTTGAGGTTAGGTCATGGATTGATTTTTTTTTTTTTAAGGCACCAGGAGAGGCCTCAAGGGGACAAGGATGGTGAGGGTTAGAAGTGAGTCTCAGACCTAAGAAGTCGCCTCCAAAAAACCAAACCAAACTCACTGCCATGGAGTCGATCCCAACTCATACCAACCTCTCCTTGGGTTTCTGAGGTGGTAATCTCTACAGAAGTAGATTGCGCAATCTTCCTTCTGAGGAGTGGCTGGTGGGTTTGAACCATCAGCCTTCTGGTTAGCAGTCAAATGCCTTAAGCACTATGCCACTAGAGCTCCTGAGAAGTTGTCTATGGGATGTAATTTAAGAGAAATCGATGAATTATCCTTGTGTGCAACTATCTCCGTACCAATCTACTAAGATATTAGGAATCATTACCATTATTTTTAAACGCTTTCTTTTCGGCAGTTCACTGTTAAGATACATGGGTTACCTTGGAAGGAAATAAAAGCAAGGAGCCCACCAACATAGGAAGTCACTGGTTTATCAGATTAGTCATCACCTGGGATAACATGACAGGAGGGCATTAGGACCTGATGGAGGGAAACAAGGGCAGGTTTAGAAAGAAGTGGGAAAGATTTACAACTTGAGATATATTTCTGAGGCTAGACGGAGAAAAACAGGCACCTGGCGTGTGTGTTGAGGGAAAAGCTGTGTGGAAAGGCATGACCGGCAAATTTAGTCCACTTCCAAGTTTCGTCTTTATCAAGAACTACCTGGAATCCTAATGTATGCTCTCATACCCTGATTAGCAGGTCACAAGGGTGAGAGAAAAGAGGGGCAACTTGGATGGCAAGGAAGTCTGGATTCCTACAGACTACAACTATAACTAACTTCCAGGAGCCACAGAGCAAAACCAGGCACCAAGGATGCAAAACTGCCACGGGTTTGAGAACCCTTTCTCAAAAAGAAATAGGTGAGCTCCCCAACAAGCCCTACCCACCATCTCTCACCTCGTCTGCAGGAAGATTTCTTTGCCCAGGTCCAATTCACCCACGCCTGCAGCGTATATTTCCTTCTCTGTGGTCTTGAGGGGAACCTTATGAGTAAGCCTAGAATCTCCTGGAGGCCACCAGAGGGCGGTGTATTAGCAGGGCCCCAGCTTGCAGAGCTTGCAAAATTGTTACAGAGAGGGGCGGGCTCCTGGCGGTATCACCAATCCAGACCCCCCCCTCCAGGCCCTACCCACGCCCCTTCCAAAGCAATCCAACTTGCTCAGAGCTTCTGTTCCTGCCTAACAAGGGAGCACCTGACTGCCCTGATTCCAAGTGTCGGATGTGTTGGAAGCCACAGATTCCAGAAGCACGCAGACCAGGGAAGCAGAGCCCGCAATAACTGGAGAAGAGCTGGAGAGGGGTGTAAGAAGGTGAAGGAAACCAGTAGAAACAACCAGGATCGACGAACTGGAAAGGGGCTCGGATTGAAATACTCAGGCTTGGGTAGTCTATTTCACACACACCACCACCACCACCACCAGTGGTGAGCCTGCTTTCTGTACGTAGCTCTTCAGGATGGGAAGATTCCACCCTTCTGTTCAGGTTCTTTCTTTTGGCCAGGAGTGTTTGGGGACTGTCAGTTAGAAATTAGCGAGGGATTCCCACAGGTCACTACTTGGCCCAGTGACGTCCCAGAAAAAAAACATCAGCCTCATCCAGACCCTACCACCAGGGAAGAATGGGAGGAGACTGATTCAAGGCCGTGAGGGAGGGGCCAGGACTGCACATAACAATCAGGGGCAGGATGCTTTGGGGCCCCTACGAACAAAGTGGTATGCTCTGGTAGCATAGTGGCTAAGGCACTTGACTGCTAACCAGAAGGCTGGCGGTTCAAACTCACCGGCCACTCCTCGGAAGGAAGATGGGGCAATCTACTTCCGTAGTGATACTGCCTCGGAAACCCAAGGAGGGGTCGCTATGAGTCGGTCCGACTCCGACGGCACATAACAACAACAACAAACAAAGAAGGGACCGGCAGGGTCATTATGCTCCCTGGAGAACTCTGGCACATTCAATTGTTGGTATGCAGCAACGGTGGTGGTGGTGGTGGTTAGGGCTCTGTTGGCGGAGGAACAAATAGCCTGGAGAAAACTGGGACTTTTGTCTCTGTTGCTGATAGGCTGGGAGGCCTCTCTAAGGGGAGGAAGAGGGGCGGGAAGACCTGCTAGGAGGGAGGGGAGAAGGACACCAGAAGTAAGGTGTTGACCAAGGGTTGGTCCCTTCCCCCCATGTCAGGAATTAAGGTGTTTTCCAATAAGCTCCTGGAAGCTTTCCCTTTATTAGAACACCTGTAAGAAAATGCAGGCGTCAGATTGGCTGGCTCTGTCAGACAGTGTTAACACTCTGCCCCAGCCCCTTACCTTGCCAGGCAGGGTAAGTAATAGATCATTATATTACATTTATAAATAAAGAATTAAAATAAAATTATGGGGTGGAGCTGAGGCACTGAGGAAGAAGAGGCTAAACAGTCAAGGAGTGTCAACCATCAGCTCCATCTACCTAGGACCCGGGGTCACCTCCTCTCAGCTTGAGGTTTCCCCTAAACCACACAGTTCCCGTATTGCTCCCATCCTTCTCTATATTCCTTCATCCACCTAATCAGCATCATCTGCTGTCCACATTCCCAGATCTCAGCCGCACGCCCCAGTCTTCCCGGCGCCTGGAAGTTTCAATGCCTAGCGCGCTCAGCCTAGCAGCTCCTCCGCCAGGCGATAGAGAAGCCTAGAGTACCAGTGCATGCCAGTAGGCTGGACCGCTCCTCCGGGGAGCAGCGCCCCCAGCGCATGCAGCAGGCGTAAAGGCGCAAAGGCGCGGTGCGCCCACTGGTGACTCTCCAGAACTGCATAGCACGAGGCCAGGACATCGTTGACCAGCAGCGTCCCGTGGGCCGTCAGCGGGGCAAAAACGCCCACGGCTTCCTCCCGCGCTACGCGGGCCACGCGAGCCGGCCGAAGAGCATCCCCGCCAGGCGCCAGCACCGAGTCCCCTGCGCGCAGCCGGCGCGCGAACACCGGTGCAAAGTCACCTGGCGCGGGCGCCGGCCCTCGGGCGGCGAACACCAGGTGCCAGGGTGTGAGCAACAGCTTGCGCTGGGGCCACTCAGTCTCCACAGCCACAAATGAGGCCCGACGCTGCAAGTCCCGGTCCAGGAACAGTAGCACCGGTGTGGGCACCACCCGGCCTGCTGCGTCGGCGGCCAGCACCCAGTCACCGCGATGCAGTTCTCGCAGCCCCTTCCGCTCGCCGCTCCGCAGGCGCACGGTGGCATTTCCCGGAAAGCAGCCGCCCGCCCGAACAGCCAGTGAGTTATCTGCGGGGAACAAAAAGGAGGGCGGGTTGGATCAAGACCACCAGTTCCAGAATGTTGGTACAGATTCTTAAAGATGTAGGTCAAGCCCAGCACAGACCTCAACCTTCAGTCCTGGGACAACATGAAATTTCCCACGGATCGAGCCCCAATATGGGAAGAAATGGAAGGCGGTTTACAATACTAATGCCCACTTAGCCTCCCCTGCGGTCGCAGTGGGACTGTGCAGCCTCAGTTTCCCAGAGGGAGCCCCCCTTGGGCGGACCTCACACCCTCCGCCTACTGTACCGGCTTTGACCGACACGTGGACATGGTTGCGCGACTCGTAGTAGACCCAGTCGAAGCCGGCTTCCACCGCCAGGCGCGCCAACAACCCATACTTATTGCGGTCGCGGTCGGACGTGGTGATGTCCAAGGCACGGCCTTCGTAGTGTAGTGAGTCCTGAGCGTGGTGGCCGTCTTCATCCCAGCCCTCAGTCACCCGCAGGCGCACTCCGGGCCACATGTTCATCACAGCAATGGCCAGCGCATTCACCCGCTCCTTACAACGCTGGCGAGGAAGAAGAGAGTCAGCCAACCCAGTACCCCAAAGGGGGCAGAAGGGAACTGGACTGGAGAGTCGACTCTTCTTTGTTTCCTGGCCCCCATTCCACTTCCTCCCAGCTTTCCAGTGTCCTAGGAAGTGAGAATCTGAATAGATTTAGTTGCCAATGTGCTCTCTCTCCCTTTCCAGAACGTCGTTGGAGAACTAGGAGTAACCTCTGAGTTGAGAGGGGCGTCCATACAGCTCTTTCCCCACTTTCAGTGCCCACCTCCACCAGTTTGGGAGCTCGGTTCAACCTGGGCCAGAGTTAAGAGGGCGGGGGGACGGAAAAAGGTTGATCAGGGAGGAGTTGAGCAGCCTGGCTCCCCGAAAGGAGCCCCTGTTTGAGTCTGGCCCCCGCCCCAGACCGCCCTCTCTCTGCCTGATTCATCTTTTGTTTCGTTGCCTTCTCTGGCACCGGGCATCGCTTCCTTCCTTCCTTCCTCCTCCTCCTTTCGGCCCCTAGCTTTAACCCCTTCATGGTCCGGGGGCCCCCCACAGAGGTGCCCTAGCGGAGTCGTGCGTGATCAAGGCTACTGGAAAAAGGGTTGGGTGGCGGGGGCTGCGCGAAGTACAATGGCCATTCTCAGGGATGACTTAACCGAGCGAGAATCCCAGGCCGCGGCCGGAGACGCGCCGGGAGAAGCGGACTCAGCAGCTCCAGCCACAAAGGCGCTTTTCAGCCGCCCCAGCGCAGGGAGAGGAAAGGGCAGAAAGCCGCGCCCCCCATCCCTGCCCTGGCCCGCCAGGTCCCCTCCCCCAGCGCGGTCAGCCCTCCTAGTACCAGAGAGGGCTCTGCCAACCCCGATCGCCCCTATCTCTCCATCTCGGTTCCAGATGCAGCCGGGAAAGGCGTGGGAGCAGCACCTGAGAGTAACGGGAGCTGCCCTTGCACGAATCTGGGGGGCCCCCTGCAGGGTGGGAGTGGAGAGGAAGAAAGGAGACAGCGGCTGGAAGCCTGCACACGGGGGAGTCAGACCATGGTTATCTCCGCAGCTCGAGTCTGGGAGTTGGAGACCTTGGCCAGCACCACAGCGTGGACACGGTGGGAGGAGGCTCAGAGAGGACACCTTCCTTTTCTCCTTCCCCCTTTGACCTCTCACCTTGGACTTGATTTTCTCCTAACTACCAGAGGAACATTTTCACCTGCCCTTCTTTCCTGATCGGGTCTTTCACACCTCCACAGAGTTGGAGGTAGGAGAAGGGGAAAACAAGAAAAGTGGTAACTGCTCCCAACTTCTTGTCATTTTGTCCCCTAGGAAGCCCAGAGGCCCTGACCTGCGGGGGCAGCAGCTCTGTGCAGAGCCAACTCAATAGAGGCCTTTTGCAGCCAGGGTGTGGGAGATAAGCTGGTCTGAGGGGGTTCCCAGGCCTGTCAGAGTCCCTCCTGGGGCTGTGCCTTGTTCTGCCCCATCTGCTACAGGTGGCAGCTGAAGAAAGGGCAAGGCCAGGGTGTTCCCTAACTGAGAAGATGGAGTATCCCCTTCCTAATTTCTGGCTGGGAGGAAGGAAAGCTTCAGGGTAGGACCAAGAAGGGATTCTTTCTTCCCTGGACAGGTTTTCCTGACAAAGTAACCTGGAAAACTATGGCAATTAATCAGAGGAAATCCGTACCCCTCCCTCTCCCCCCACTCCTCCACTCCATACACAATTAGGTGGTGTAATGGAAAGTGTATAGGACTTAGAATCATGAGTCCTGCATTCTAGTCCCAGCCATGCCACTAATTAGTTGTGAGATTTTGATTAAATCACTTTTCCTCCTGTGCCCAGCTCTCAGTGGTAAAATGGGGGGGGGGGTGTGGAAGAATGTGACCTCCAAGTTCCCTTTCAGTTCTGATATTTATCATGCCAGAAGTGGTTATTTTCTCCTGAGATATTGCCTACCTCACCATAGGTTGGTTCAGTTCCTTGTCTAGTGTAGATGCTGAATACATGGTAGTTGAATTTACTTGAATTTCAAGGAAAGCCCTTGAGCTGAGCTGAACTTGGGGGATATAGGAGCCCTTTGATTCTCAGGTGTGCTCATTTGTTCTTCTCATTGAGGACCATCGTTTAGACCTTATAATAGCACTGCCCTGATTCTAGGACACTTCCCCCAGCCTCAGACAATTCCTGCCCATCCCTTTCTCAGGTAGATGGCCTGGTGACCTGACCCCTCCCCAGCCTCCTTCAGTGTCTTCAGTCACTGGAGCTTTTCCACAATCAGGTCAAGAGGCAGGCTAAGGGTAGAGCTTGCTGTCTGGTGCCCAGCCAGTTCCTGGCCCCCTGGCCCCCTGCTCACCCCAGCCCTTCCTGCCTGGCTCGGTGGCTGACCCCCGGTCCACGCCTCAGCCATTTCCCGTCTCGCCTGCCGCCATCCTCCTTTCCCCGCCCTCGAGGTCTCTCTCAGCTTCACTCTCACTAGTCCCTCCTCCCCTTCTCCATCCCAGGATCTCCCACTTGGGATCCCTCCTGATCGCTCTGTGCAGCCAGCAGGTATTTTTTTTTTGGGGGGGGGTTGGGGATGGGGGGCTGGTCTTTGGGATAAGGTCTCTGTAGATGACCCGGCTCACCCTTCCCGGCTGCTATAGGAAAGTGGAGAAGTTGGCGTGTCCTGGCGCAGGTAGAGAGAGATCCTCCTTACCTCTGTCATCAGGCGATCGGCACCACTGTTCTCCTCGTCCTTGAAGATGATGTCGGGGTTGTAGTTAGGCACAAGGTCCCGGAAGCGCTCGGAGCCCCTTGCCACCCTTCCCTCGGCTGGCCCACTGGCGCCCAGGGTCCGCTCGGGCATACTAGGCACAAACTGCTTGTACAGCAGCGGCACCAGCTGCTTGCGCACGTAGCGGCGCCGGCCCACCGGGCCCCGGCCAGGCCCGCAACTCTGGGCCGGCAGCGCCAAAAGTGCCAAGCAGCACAGGGGCACAAGACTGGCGGGCAGCGCCATGGATGCAGCGGACGAGGGCCAAAAGGTAGCGTTCTTGTCCTCACTAGCTCGCGCGTCAGTTGGGCATTTCCCCAGACTCCAGAGCGCGCAGCAGGCAGAGCTGCCTCGAGTGCCTAGCGCTCTTGTGGCTCTGCGCACCTGGCCACAGCTGGCTCTGCCTACATGCCCCTGGGGGGTCTGGGACCTGCTACTGACGGGCCATCATAGCGGGGAAAGGGGGTCGTGGGTGTGTGCCAGCCCAGCCTGACTCTGTTGCCCGGCTCCGGCGCTGCCAGGACGCCCCGGCTCCGCCTTAAGTGGCCCCTGGCCCCGCCTCCCGCCCTTTCCCAGGGCGGTCCCGCCCCCTCCCAACGGGGCGGGGGCTCTAGCTGGTCACTACTGGTCCATTTCGTGACTGAAATGTGTCCCATCCTGGAAACCAGGCAGGCACCTGACTGATACACAGTGCTCGGATGCCTAGATAAGCATCCTTCCACCTCCAAGCCTAGGCGTGACCGAACCATCCTTGCCCTCCGAAAGCCTACCCTGGCTTACTGCCCTCTGCTGTCATCCAAGAAGTATGAGTTCCAGTTTCTGCCCGAGGCCAGCCAAGCCTTCTGGGCATTCGACCAAAGCTTCTCCTCTTCCCTGAGGAATTCTACTTCCATCTCTTCTTGCTTGGCAGTAGCTAGAAATGAAGGGAGTGGGGCTATTCTCACTAGTTGCTTTATAGCCTTTACTTGAGAGCTTCCCCTTGGTGTTCCCAGACTCCGGCAGAGCTTTGTAGCTATACTCTGGTTTAGGACTTCCAACTTTCGTCCCCTCTTTTGCCTCTTGTCAGACACCCATATCCAATAGCTCTTTACTTTTCAAATGATTAACCTGTCAATTTGAAGTTGCTGAAGGACAATAGATACTTAAAACCTTAAGGCTGTAACAGGCTAATGATTGCTTTCCTTCACCTCCCATCTAGCCAACCCTGCAGCCTTCTCTCACTCTGGACTCCCTCGTACTTCCAGCCATTCAGGTCTCATCTCAGACTTGGAACCTACAACACTTCACCCACCATTCTACCATCACTTAAAAATCACTTCCTCTAAGAAGCCTTCCCTGATATCCTGACACTGACCACTTCTATATTTCCTTGAGAACCAACTGTCACTATGGTACCATAGTAGAATTATGTTACCCTACTAGACTGGCAATTTTTGAGTACAAGCTTGTTTCTCACATATCTCTGAGGCTAAGGGAGTGCTTACCCTACAGTAGGGTGCTCAGGAATCCACATTTCTTTGTAGTTCATACTCGCCCTCTCCTCACCAAGCTCTACGGCTAGCACTAACAGCAACCTTTGTGTGCATTAGAAAAAGGTGCCCTTTCTTAACACCTACCATTTGCAAGTAAACTGTCATAGTAACTATACATATAATGACAACAACTATGAAGCGAATGGTGTCCCATGAAGCTGTGCAATCCAACAGTCAAGTCAGAGAAGGCAGGACAACCAGGGATGCCAGTGTGTATATATGCACATGTGTGTAAAGGGAGGTTATCCGATTCTTATGCACATCTATCCCTACCACCCAAAGTACAGAAACAGGGCCAGGTTTCTTTATAAATGTCAGGGGACTAGTCAGATTTAAGCAGCTAAGGGAGGAACATCACACTGCTGAATCGCATGACATAAAACTAGATGCAGGTCCCCAAAGGACAATAAAGGAGCTCTGATGGCACAGTGCCTAAGGCATTTGACTACTAACCAGAAAGCTGGCAGGTCAAACCCACCAGCTGCTCTGCAGAAGGTAGATGGGGCAATCTACTTCCACAAAGATTTGCTGCCTTATAAACCCAATGGGGGTCACTATGAGTTGGAATCAACTTGATGGCAGGGAGTTTGGGGTTTTTTTTTTTTTGGTTTAAAGGACACTAAGAATGCAGATGGAGAAGGAAAAGGACAGTGGGCAAGATCCCTTGTTTCTCTCAGTTGGTAGGCTTGGAAAAATAGACACAGAGACAGGCTCTTTAAAAAATCAAAGCAAACCCTGGGATCAACTTTATTGCTGATGGTTCCAGCCTCTTCCTCCCTTCCCTATTCTTGTGGCCTCTCTGGTGGTCCAAAGCCCCTCCAGGACAGCACAGTGCTGAGGCTCTGCTGGGCCAGAGACAAGGGAGGCAACCTGCCTCCCAAGACTGTCCCCAGCCCAGACTCTCCCCTGTCCCCATCCCTCCCTATTGCACATCAAATCATGTAAACATGGCTACGGGCTTGGCCCGAAACAGCAGTGAGGCAGACTGATGTGTAAACAGATTTAGGACCAGAAGCCAGAGGCAGTCACCCAGCCCTACTCCATACTGAGACCCACAGTTGTTAAGTCTGGAAAAGCAGGAGGCCTGGTCCCAAACTCTGGCTCAGATTTGCAACAGTGCAGATGGCTCAATGCCCCTCTGCCACCCACCCTCTCAGATTCCAGGTCCTGAGGTCCACCCACCCCCAGGCTCCCCTCCAGGCCTGGGCAGTAGATGGCAGTGTCCAGTTTTCTCCCTCCCACTCCCTGCTGGAGGTCACTGGTGCTGGGTCTTCTTAGACGCCCGGGGAAAACCGGAGACAGGCAGCGGCAATCTGTCCAGCCCTGTAGAGGAGGGGAGAAGTCAAAAGTAGGGTTAAGTCGTGTCCCTTAGGGACAAGACAAGCCACAAATGGATGGATGAGGTACATTGAATGCCATTTCCCTTACTGGGATGATCTTCCCTGTTGCAGAAGTGCCCCACCTGACAAACAACCCTCAAGCCCATACTCTACCCTGCTCACCAAAGGCTCGAATCAGCTCTGCCCGCACAGCTGCAGTGAAGGTCTTCACCAGACACAGTGTGGTAAGGCCTGCGAAGGCCGCATTGTAGAGGAACACGATGTAGAAATTGCCCAGCCAATTGAAGCGTCCAAAGTCACCCAGCAGGTCAAAGCGTGTAAGCCCTGAAGTATAAAGGCCAGGATGAAGGGTGGGCTCCCCACAACCCTTGCTAAGGACCCAGCTTTCTGCTGCCTCTCGGTGGCCACAGCTCTACACTGCAACTGATATGCTGGCTTTTCCTGGACATCAGTCATCCTACCTCCCAAGCTCTGTCTCAAGGGCAGTTCAGGGCTGTTGCAGAAAGTATCAGCAGCTAGGCTTGCCCCAACTTCCCTTCCAGAGCCTGGCATCTTCTTTTCCAGTGGGAATCCCTTTGGCTCCAGGTGTCCCAAGGAGCTCCCTGGGCCTGCTACTTGTTGCTGGGCCAGGAACCTACAAGCTGGTTACCAAGTCTTTTTTAGTAGGCAGAGCAGTATGGTGGCTAAAGGCTCAGACTCTGATCACCCTGCTTTGGGTCATATCCCAAACTCCATCTCTAACTAGGTGTGCGTGATCTAGGGCAGGTTCTTTAAACTCTCTGTGCCTCAGTTTTCTCATCAATGGAGAACATAATGGGACTGTGATGATTAAATGAGACAACACACATAAAGCATGGTTATGTAGGAAGGGGAGAGGAGGAAACACTGCTAGATAGGTAGAGACAAGTATTGATTTGGGTGAAGGGGAAGACAATATACCAAAAGTGAGTGACCAACACAAGAACACTAAGGAAAAGGAAGACAAAGAGAGGTGCACAAGAGGAACAGACAACAAAGATAAACTATGTATAACACTGCATTATCAGTGATAGCAAATATTAATCTATAGGTAAATAGATGGATAGACAGGCTGAATATCAGGTATATCTAAAGGAAAGGGAATATACCCATGACCAGATATAAGATTGGCAGACAATATTTCTACACATGTATTGTATGTGCTGTAAGAATGTCTGGGTGTAGAGCTGACAAAGGGCAAGGTTGTGATGGCTTCTTGGCCACAGCCAGCAACCCAGAGGGAGCAAGTAGCTGGACCTGTGGGCTCAGGAAAATGGTCGCAGGGGACATCAAATTCAACTGGCATAACATACTACACAAAAACATTGTTCTACATCCTACTTAGTGAGTAGTGACTAGTGTCTTAAAAGCTTGCAAGCAACCATCCAGATGCAACGATGGGTCTCTCCTCATCTGGAGCAAACAAGAATGAAAAAAACCAAACACGCATGGAAACAATTAGTCCAAGGGACAGGTAGACCATATGAACCTCAGCCTATGTGACCATGAGACCAGAAAAACTAGATGATGCCCAGCTACCACAGTCAACCACTCAGAGGGGGATTGGTGCAGGAGATGCTAGATAGAGTGGGAGAACAATGTGGAACAAAACTAAAAATCTTAAAAAAAAAAAAAAAGACCAGGCTTTCTGGTCTGATAGAGTCTGGTGAGCCCCTTGAGACTATAGCCATTACTTACCCTTCAGGTCTGCAACTGAACTCACTCCTGTGGCTTCTAGCCAAACAATATACAGGCATATGGGCTGAATATTTATATCAGGTAGACACATTCCTTATAATGATCAATTACGGGAAAACAAAAGGGCATAATTTGCACAGGGAGATAGCTCAGGAATACAGAGGAAAGAAGGACAGAAGGAAGAGGTAACTATAGGGAGGAAGCAGGAAGAGAGCTGCTACATTGTGGGGAATTGCAGTCAATGTCATGAAACAAAATATGTATGAACTGCTGTGGCTCAGGAACATGGTTGTAGGGGACATCAAACTCAATGAGCATAACATACTACACAAAAACATTGTTCTACATCCTACTTAGTGAGTAGAAAATGAATTTGCTCTATAAACTTTTATCCAAATCACAATAAAAAAATTTAAAAACATATAAAAATAAAATAAACATGTTTATGTACCAGGTATAAGTCTAACATTTACTGAACCCTTGATAATAAAGCTATCATTAAGCAAAACTCTGGGACCCTTGTCTTTGATAGGTGTCGTTGAGTAGATTTCAACTCACAGGGACCCATGTGACAGAGTACAGCTGCCTCATAGGGTTTTCTTGGCTACAATCTTTACAGAAGCAGATGGCCAGGTCTTTTTCTTGAGGAGCCTCTGGGTGGGTTCGAACCACCAACCTTTCAGTTAGCAGCTGAGCACCTAAACACTGGGCCACCAGGGCTCCTTCAGGGTTCCTTCTGGGGCCCTTATTGTTGTCGTGTACCTTTGAATCAATTCTGACTCATAGAGGCCCTACAGAACAGAGTAGAACTGCCCCATAGGGTATTCTAAGTTGTAAATCTTTATGAAAACAAGCCTTCACATGAACTAGGTCTTTTCTCCCATGAAGCCACTGATGGGTTCAAACTGCTACTCTTTTGGTTGTCAGCTGAGTGCTTAACCATTGCACCACTAGGGCTCCTTCTGGGGCCCTTATGACCACTTAAAAATATTCCTACCTGCACTCAACCTAAAGGAACTAACTGGTAGACCCACAAGCCTAGTTTCCTCCTAAATCCACATAGCATAAATACAAATGGCATAGTGGAAAGAGTATAAACTTAAGAACTAAAAAGAACTGGGATTGAATATTAAATCATTTCTAATATATGGATGATGATTTGGTAGCGGGGGAGTTGCTGCCTGTGCAGCTTCCATACTACCTTGGGGTGAACTAGTTACCCTTTTGCACTATACCAGGTAATTCTAGATCACAGCTCTAAAGAAGGTGGGAGAAGGACTGAGTGCATTATTTAATGTTTCAGCTCAGACTGGGGTTAAGGAGGTAAGGGTTCTAGCCTGGCTTTGCTTTTCCTCAAATCAGCTATATAGCTCTGGGTAAATCAATTAGCTTTTCTATTCCTCATCTTTAAAATAAGTAAATTTTATAGATAATGCACCCTAAGGGAAGATTTTGGGAAAAGTGGTACTTCTTCACCAAAAAAACATGGAAGGAAATGGGGTAGGCAGTGGGATATAGCAAATGGAAGAAGGAGAAGCTTTGAATCACTACTACCTTGAAGCTCATAGGCAGTTACAGAGCTTTAACTTCCCCATCCTCCTCATAGATTTGTTCTGGGAATTAAAGAGGCAACATATGCATAAAGTGCCTGCCTAGCACTAGGGGAAAAAAAAAAAAAAAAAATTCCCTTACCTTCTTTTGCTACTTACCCAGGGTCCGAGAGAAGACAGGAAGTGCTGAGCTCAGGACCAGGAGACAGACACAGTTCCCAATTATCTGGGTAAGAGTAGAGAAAGGGGAAGGTGAGGGTAGCTGAGCTGCCAGCACCTGGAGCCAAACCATGCCCTCAGGGTGGGAGCTTCCCCTATTCCTTTACAGATACCTGTGTCATGGCTGTGTCATGCCATCTGGGCCGCAGACCCCGGAAGAGTGGAGAGCTATAGAAGCCCACAACCGAGGACACCATCAGATAACTGCCACTGGGTTAGGGAAGAACTGTCCAGCTCCCAAGGATTAACACCTCATCTCGAAAGGAACAGACCTCAGCCCCCCCGCCCTCCTTTCAAAATCAAGTCTTTTCCTTCTTTCTTAACCCAAATTTGGTGAAGACCTGCCCCCTTCCCCACCACTCCCACTACAGCTTTGCCTAGAGTCCCAAAGGAGACAGGTTTGGAGAAGAGAGGCAATGGTGGGTTTCCAGAAGGATACAAGATGAGTACAACCTGAATGACAGCACCAAAGGAGCCCAGCTTAGAGAAGGAGACTTGGCCCAGGGAGGCATCCTAAGGGAGAGAGCCATGTCACTGTGGAACATTCCCCACCATCAGTACCACCTAGTACCCATCTTTTTTCTGGTCTCAGCTCCTGTTCCCTTGCCTCAGCCTTTCTTAAGCCCTCCCCGAAACATATATCCATATATACATTATTAGCCTAAGGCCAGGAGAGATGTCATGGTGGGAAGGCAACCAGTACCTGCATACCCCGGGGCATAGCAGCATCATCGATGAGCAGCTCCAGGATGTGGATGGCCACAATGAGCACAGACAGGCCCTGTGTGAGGCAAGGTCACTGACTACCAGCTCTGCCCCAGTCCACAGATGTACCTAGCTGAATGTTAAGAACAAGGGCTCTGATTCAATATTATCAGTTTCCAAGACCAGCTCTGCTTCCATTTGGCCTCATGGTACCTCCTCAATGCTAGGGCAAACAAGAGTACTTTTTGTTGTTGTTGTTGTTATGTGCCATCGAGTTGGACCTGACTCATAGTGACCCCTCCTTGGGTTTCCGAGGCAGGATCACTATGGAAGTAGATTGTCCCATCTTCCTTCCGAGGAGTGGCTGGTGGGTTTGAACCGCCAGCCTTCTGGTTAGCAGTCAAGTGCCTTAGCCACTATGCTACCAGAGCTCCCAAGAGTACTTTAAGGGTATTATAAAAGGTGACCCTTCCAGGTGAAATGACTACAGACAGTTCATGGAAACAAGGAGAAGGGACCTCTTCTTTCAGACTAACAAGAAAGTGGGGATAGGCTGCATTTCCACCTTGTTCTTACCTCAGTGAGTATAACTACTCAGTGGCCCTGTGTAACCTTGAGAAAGTTACTTTTCTGAGCCTCAGTTTCCTCATCTGCAAAATGAGGACTGATGTGCTCAGCACAGGGCAAGATACAAAAAGCATCCAGTGAAAGGCAACTACTGTTATCTATGACAACGAGGTCTCTGCATCTCCTTCTCCTTCTCTGAGTAGGTCCAAAGCATTCGTTGGCCTATCCCCACCCAACCCAAGGCTGGTGGCACCCACCGTCAGCACCAGCAAGCACAGCATGGCCAGAGGGTAGCCCAGGTTCCGCTGCCAGGCTGAAGCCTTCCGCCGCTTCTCTGTGCAGGGATAGGAGGCTGTTAGCAAGGGGCTTACCTTTTTTGGACCCAGGCATCCCAATCCCTACCAATTCACATACCCAGCAGGACCCTCTGTGTCTGCAGAGCTAGGACCTGTCTGTGCAGTAGCTCCATGTCCAAAGGCAGCCAGCAGGAGGTGGGGTCTGGGGGAAAAGAACATGTTGTTGCCACCCCTCCTCCCCGAGTCCTGTAGCCCTTGCTTAGACCAGGCCAGGCCTTCAATCCCATCTGGGAAGAACTACTACTCACTGCGGATCCTGCGGGTCAGAGCTGCCTCTTCAAAGGCTGAGCAGTAAAGCTGCTCCTCCAGGTCTTCCAGAAGCTGGGGACAGGGTCAAGGGTGGAACTAACTGTCAGAGGTTCCCTGATCCTAAGAGCCCCAGGGGAACCCTGTTCACCCCAGGGCTCCATAGACCCAGTCCTTCCTCTAACCCTCATCCATCACCCTGTGCCCAGCTCCAGATGATGGGGGTGAAGGATACAGGAGCTAACAAAAGCCATGGCCCTTTGCAGGCTGTGCACTACACAACCCTAGGAGGCAGAGTTCACATAACAGATATCATAAATTCACATATTTTTGCATATTAATTATTCCAATTTCCCAAATGATGGAAATAAAGTATCTTAAAGAAAAGGTGCCCTTTTCTAACTAGAACAAAGGTACAAGATGGGTGAGGTGTGGCCCTGCTCCAGATCCCCCCAGAATAGCTCCTCAGTAGTCACACCTGAATTCCTTTAATGGTTTTCCTATTTAAAGTTTAAAATGTTAACTCTCCCACGAGAGGCCACACACAGGCTTGTGCTGGTACTAGGTTTTTTGTAGCAGGTTTTTTAGAGAACACAGGGTGAGTCCTAGTGCCTGACGGGCTCTGAAGGGAAAGGCCCAGCTACCAAGGCACAAAACAACACCTTCTTCATTGTTTGGCTCCAGCTTTGTAGGAAGCTCGTCCTGTAGGATCAATGCGCAGGGAGTGCTACATACCCGAGGCTTGACCAGCAGCTTCCCAGTGACCGAGAACATGCGGGCGAGACCTAACGGGGTACACACTGTGGGGACAGGAGCCAGTCACTCACCAGACTCTACCACTTCTCTTACCCACCCCCTCTGTTCCCTTGCATTCCACCCTGGCTGCTCTTGCCCAGGACCCCAGTCATTCCCTATTCCCTGCACACTCACCCAGGAGCAACAGGACTCCGAGGAAGGAGATACAGGAGTAGAGGTAGGGGAGGTAGTACTCCCAAAAGTCTGCGTATGAAGGAAGAGGAGGCAAATCAGTTTGTCCCTCTCTCTTCCTGCTTAATGGAGGTTGATAAGCCTCAGAGTTGAGGCCTATCACACAACTCAAAACTTGCAGGGATTGGCAATTAGGAAAGATGGCCCAGTATTAGCAGAAAAGAGAATGGGACTATTGCAAACTGGAGATCCTAAGCCCTATATAAAGGGGACGACTGCTATTTGCCTCTAGTCATTAGACTAATACAGCCAGATCCTCCCCCTAGTCAAGCAAAACCAGAAATCAACATTAATCTGAAACCTCTCAATTTAAAAATGTTAGCAACTGATTCATGTATATTTTTCAATCATTGCATAAGCCCAATGAACATTTCTACAGGTTGGATTTGGCCCAAAGTCCATCAACCTAAAACTTCAGTCTAAGGAAGAGGCTCAACCTTCTCTAGCTTAGAGGGGTACAGTCACTGCAGGCAGAAGAGCCACTCATCCTGGAGGGTGGGGAGGAAGCTGGACCTCTCACCATAGAGTGACTCCCTGCTGGCCTTGTTCTTGTCCACAATGGCTGATGCTACCCACACCATGCCCAGCACCAGCAGGGTAAGGAGCACCAACATCACCACCGTCTCATAGACCCGGCCCAGGACGCCCTACAGGAAGAGACAATACATGGGGATGGGGAGTGTCAATCTCTCTGTCCTTCTACCTCCTAATCTGGGGTCATTCCAGGTGTTCTTCATCTGCCAAGCTCTCTCCTCAGATCCATTATCATCCTTGCCTTCCCTGGGAGGCTGACCCTTGAGGCCTATATCACTCAGGTTCTTTGCCCTCAAGTTCGGTTTGGTAAATGGTAAGCCCAGCAGGCGTAAAAGGTAAGAACAGAGGTGGATAGGAGTATTTTTCCTGTTTCCTCCCCTATTTGACAGCAGTTTTGGCAGTAGCTGCATCCCTGAGGCCACAGGTCTTCTGCTGAGTGGCACTGCTTCCTCACCATCAACTATCAGTAGGTTGCAGAAATTATATGCCCCTCTTAGACCTAAGGGTAGTAATAACTTCTAATTAACTTCCTTATTCCCTCAGCTCTTAACTAAACCTTTACAAACAGTCTTTTAACTAAAAATCTCTTCAGTTAAAAAAAAATCTCTTCAGTTGAACAATGAGTGGAATTTTGTTTCCTGCCTGAACTCAGAATGACATATCCCCTACTCACCTTTCTGGAGCCAGCAAAGCCCTCAGACTCTGTGAAGAAGTATGCGAAGGGCATGAGGAAGATGAGGGACAGGTTGGAGAAGAGAAAAACAAGGTTCCAGAGGCCTAGAGCATAAAGAGAAAGTGCAGGTGGTTGGTAAGTACGGACAGGTAGGGCCCAACTCCCTGGGGACTATGTGGTGGGGGAGAAGATGGGAGTCAGGGTGATGTATGACTGATAAGGTCAAGGCTGCCTGTGTCTGCCTGACCCTAACCCTACCCCAAGCTACAGCCAGGAGCCACACACCATGGATGAGGGAGCCGTTGAGCCACTGGATGTAGTAGTTCCGAGGCAGTGAGAGTAGTACCTCGTTGCTGAGGATGGAGAAGGGCAGGAGCAGGACAGCACCCAGGGCAATCGCCAGGGTAAAGGTGCACAGCTCGAGCCTGGGCAGAGAAAGGAATAGTGAGTGCCCTTGCTTAGCTCAGACACTCAGTACTCTGTGCTTAAGTAGCCCAAGACATTCCCAAAGGCATCTGTGTCCTGTAGCAGTGGCAGACCTAAGGAAGGAGCTGTCTAACTATACCCACTGCCCCCCCCTTTACCTCCAGTGATGCCATGGTACACAGGATGGGTAAAACCTCTGGTGTGCACAGGAACCTGGGCACCTACTGTATCACTTGCCCAGGCTGTCCCCAGGAATGTGGTCCTACTGCACATGCCTGTTTGGCATGATGCCAAAGCTGCTTAAAGCTATGGCTTTCTGAGCTTGCCTCCTTTGAATGGGTAACACCACAGCCACCTCATATGGGTATGCCTGCATGAAAGTGCTAGGGCAAGGAGTAAGGGGGAGTTGAACTCTAGCTGTGCCCTGGCCTGTATCAGCTGAAAAGAAGGGACACCTTAATCTAATTGGTCCATAGAGGGGGTGGGGATTGGGGTTGCCATGTAATCTGTATGTGCTTTTATCTCTGCATGTGCTAGTCAGCAACAGCAGCCCAGAGGAAGGGCCTTCTCTCAGAAGCAGGTTTCTACCTTCTCCACTCCTGCTGTGTTTCCATCAGTCCACACCCCCACTCCACTTCCTCCCCACTGGCCACTGAGAGGTAAAGCCAAGTTGGAGCCATTTCCAGTGACTCAGGCCCCAGCTGACGTTTCCTGCCCATGAGGCTCCCAGAAGCTCCTGGCCTAACCAGGGAGACAGGAACAGCAGCTTTTCTAAGAGTCCCCAGGGTGGGGTAAAGCCGGAAGAAGCAACAGGGAGGAAGCCGAAGCTCACTCTTCATTGTCTGATACCCTTTCTCTCCTCCTCCCGCAGCTCTAGAGGCCTCCCTAGATCTCAGTTCCTGAAGGCTACTGGTCCCCAGATGCTGAGGCAGTGACACTTACACAATCTTGTTGACTGTAGCATCTTCATCATCCACTACAAGAGGGACAGAGGCAGACATCAATGCACAGTTCTGGGAATCATCTGTGTTGCTGTGTGTACCCCTGCCCCCTCCCTGCCCCTGAAAGAAGGGCCTGCACCCCCAGAGGCTGTGGGAGAGCTTACACTGTGGGCCCCAAAATATATTTTCTGGCCAAGGTGGCAGATAAAAAATCAGTGGTCCCAACTGGAGAATGCATGGGCCCAGAAATTCTCCCCCTTCCCATAATCTCTCCCATTGCAGGTTCAGCTTTGTAAACTCAACATACAATAGTCAATTGCTCTATGAGGTTGGTTACATCAGTGGCTAGATGCAGGGAAAGAGGCATGAGAGGAGGTGCTGAAGAGGGACGGGAAATTCACAGAGAAAGTCCCCAGGGAAGTTACACTGAGGGTAACTGCTGTCTTGGGTAGAAGTTCATGAGCCATGCTAAGGGGAGGAAAGGCTGGGCCCAGGATAGGACATCTGGTACCAGGGATAGGACAGGACGATCTGGACAGGCTTGGCTAGGAACCGGGGCAGATGCGCCCCTCAACTGCACAAGGTCTGAAAGAAGATAAGCTCCAATGTGAGTGCAATCAGACTTTTACAGAGAAAGACCAGCATCACTAGGATCTGGGACCCAGTGCTCAGGAAGATCTCTGGTCCTGTCAGCACTAGAAGAGATGACACAGAGCTTATGTCCATGATGACATAGTCATCTACTTTAGGTTCATAAGGACTTTCACATTAACAATGGGCCAAGCAGACTATGTTACACTCATTTTGTAGAGAATGAAGCTGAGGGTCAGAAAAGTTACATAACTCGCCCAATGACCTTATTAGTGACAGACTGACACTTCCACCTAGACGTCCCACTATACCTTGCCCCTGCTTGTGGGAAAAGGGAGGCTGAAGAGGCAAGGGCACCAGCATAGCCACCTCTCTTTTCCCAGTAGGCACCACATGCCCTTTCCCCCCGAGGCTGGCCCCATGACAACCAAAACGCTGGCAGGAGGGAGGCAGGAAGAAGAGAAATCACAGGTACCTGTAGTGAATTCAGCAGGCTTCTTGAAGCGGGTCAGGGCGATGTGGCAGAGGATGTACAGTGTCGCAAACAGAAGCGATGAGATCTATGGCACAGTGTAAGCTGGGATGAGAAGCACTAATTCCTACTACAATCCACAGTCCTAAGGGCCTCACTGCTAATCCTATGGGGTTATTTCCCCCAAACAAGGCTCCTTACTTCCAGGGGTGCCATCTTTCTCTCTAGTACTCCCAGTTAGGGTGGCAGCAGCCTCCAGGGAGGACCAGACAAGGGCTGTCCATGCACCTAGGGAAATGGCATCATTCCTAGCCCTACAAGATTCTTCCTGGGACAAAAGAGCTTTACCCAGAGAAAAAGCCTACAAAGATTCACAGGCACACACACCTGAAACAGGCTATAGAACCAGACGGAATTTACTCTGAGTATGTTATTGGAAAGAAGCAGGTTTAAAGGGAGGGAGGAAATGTGTACATTGTCCTGGCACTTCTCCCTCCTCCTGCTCCCACTCTGACCCATGTTCCAGAAGAGGATAAGCAAGAATCAAATCAGTATGTTCTTAGACCAAGTCAGAATTTCTACTCTGTGCTTATTCAGGGATCCCGAAAGATCAGATCTCCTCTGGGCCAAGTGAGAGCATCAATTAATCCTTTGCCCCTAAGAGTAAACTTTAGTTGGGGTCCAACACCTATAAAGTTTCTAGAATTGGCATCAGACTCTTTAAAGGTGGCCAGTTTGAGGCCCTACCTCAAGTGGCTCCCAACTCCAGGGTCAGGCCTCTCGGGCCTGTCCCACCCTGGACAGTGACTAAACCACCATTAAACAGTTATGGCAGAACTTGGCCAGGTTAATCTGCATATGCATGCATCCCTACCCTATCCCAAGTAAGTTGCTACTCTCTGCTGGTCAGCTTGGCTCCACAATCAGAGCCAGAGTCTTAAGAAGAGATGCTATTGTGTTTGAAACAGTCCAAGAAGACAGGATCAGTCTCATTGGTCCTCTAGACACTAGAGAGAATCTGAATGCAGTTATCTATACAAGAAGGGAAGAAGCCAGGAGAGCTATGGATCTGGGACAAAGTTGTAGCTTTTGAAAACAGGGGAGTAGAGTAGGAAGAAGCCATAAATATATTGTAGCTATGAGATTTTTATAGCTGAGTACTGTGCCCTGGGCTTGCGTAATAGCCAGGAAGGTAGGAGGGCTCAAAAGGTCAGTCAGGAGTTCCACGCAGTTCCAGCATTTCCAGCAGAGGTAAGGCTGTTCTCCAGAGCAAGGGATGGGAGCCAGATGGGGGAGGCCGGAGGCCTTCAGCTGCCCTTGGACAGCACTGTTGTCTTTAGCTAATGGGACTAAAGGACGGGGGAGACACCCAGGAGGCTGCTTCTCTGTCCAAGGTCTCATCCCTCCCTGTTCTCTAGGAATGTGGATCTCTGGCCCTACACTGTCTCAAGGCCTAGGCATGCCTCCACAATACTGCCCAATCCCCCCAAATCCACCATATGGGATCATCTGCCAAGGGTCACACAAGGAAGGCTTCCTGAAACCATATACATATGGCCTGCTATAGTCCCTACTTTCCAGTCCTCACAAAGGCAGATCTAGTAATATACTGGCTCACTTTACCCCTCCTCCAAACTTGGGCAGATGAGAGCCCAGTCTGAGAAAACTGAAGGATAACCTGACCCATCTCAGTGGGTCACCTCACTCACTAATACTTCTTTCTATTCCTCATTCAAACTCTTTCATTTTTTCTATTTAGTTTTCTTTCTTTTCTTTTTTTTTTGGGGGGGGGGGCAGCAGGGGCTACCCTGGGGAGCTCTGGGAAAAGAACAGAGAAGAAAAGAGATGATAATTCAAAGCAGGCCTGAGGGTGATGTTAGTCCCTTAGCTCCACTGAGTGTTCGGGGGCCCAGAATTGAGGAGTCCACTGTTGTGGGGCAGGTTTAGCTGCTGCTCTAGATCACTGTGCAGCAGCCAGATGCCGCCTAGAGAACTGGGATGGGGGTGGGGGTGGGAATCACAGAGGAAATCCCTGAATGGCTGTGAATCTGGCAACCAGCTTCGCAGGGGTTTCTAACAAAAATCAGTAAAGGGGAGGAAGCCTTAGTTGTTCCCCATCTCTACATATAGAATCCACCCCAACAAAACTGCTTTCTCCAAGTCCCCCTAGCTACTCTCACCACCACCCCTACACCTCCTAAGTCTTTTCTGGACCACAGCTCAGTGTGACGATGTCTCCCCTTCACTAAACAACAGTTGGGTTTGCCCTCAACTGAGTTTGAGGGAGAAATGCAAATAACCCTACCCCCAACTAAACGCATCCCTACCAGGCTCTCACATTTAAGACAAGCTCACTAGACTATGAGATTAAGATAACCGGGCTCAAACACAAAAAGACCCATGCCCAGAAATACCAGGAGATGAGGAATGAGGGTGGGGGAGGGGCGTGTAAAGGGGAGGAACGGAAACCGACAGTCTTTGTTTATCGCGAAGGGACCCAGTTGATCCGATCTAGGGCTCCCCGGCCGGGGCACCGACAGACCCTGCGGTTCGGCCGGGGACCTAGTCGCTCGCTCCTGGTCCAAGCAGAGTATGATGACGGCGCTCTGAGTCCAGGTAGTCGCACTGTGACCTGAACTTCTCCCCAAACACCGTGTTTCTTTCCACCTCCTTCCTACCCCTTCCTCCCTGGGGGCCCCACTCACAATGCACTCGCGGACCCGCTCGTGGAATAGCTGCTCTCGCACGGATAGCACCTCGTAGTCAGCTGCTTCCATACTCTGCTTAGCATGACTGGGGCAGGAGTGTCTCCGGGCCCGGGGAGGACAAGCGGGGATGAAGCCGCCGCCGCCAAGCACCCGGACCCAACCAACGAGCCTTTCCCCTCAGGCTGCGACGGAAACTCCGGGTAATCTGGGACTCAGATTCAGTCGTCCGGACGCCCCGCCCTTAAAGGGGCAGGCACCACCGCGCCTCACTTTAAAGAGCTCCGGCCCCGCTCTGCTCCCTCCCCTTTAAGGTCGTGGCTCGGTCACGTTTCAACGCAAACACTGGCCAGCAAGCGCACTATTAGGAAGCGCTGGCCTTAGTCTATTTTTCAAGAGACCGAGTGACGACACAACGGATGGGCGGGTTCCTTCCAGGAAGCGGAACTTATTGGCTCCTAGATATCTGTCTCTCAGTGCTAGTGGGGCGCTGATAGGCCTGCCCCGTGGAAGGAGGCGGGCTCTTTTGGGCCTATGGGACTCATTCGAAAACCAAGCAACCGTCTCGCAGTCTTCTGGCCGTTGAGAATTGTAGTAACGGGCAAGATTTCGTTTGATCGTGGTTAAGTGAGCCATTTGGATCAGCCCAGCCAGGCAAGATGTGAGAGTACCATGGGGATTATGAAACGTACCGCTGCCCAGTAACCCAGGGCCACAGCAGCGGTGCTCGAAGTGTTTGTGTTGGTATGCAACTTTTGTGGAAAGCCTAATCTGTACTAGAGCAAATACTAAAGAAAACTAGATAGAGACTTACAGAAATACCATTCTGATACTTTATGAGGAAATACCCACATTGGATTATCTTTGTGTTAGGCTGAGTCATATATTAGCGTATGTGTGGCACTTTATAGATTTTCATCTCATTGTTACATCACAACAACAGATGAAGGTGTTGTGATTAGCAGTTTAAAACCAAAACACCTGTGGTTCAACTTTCAGCTAAAGGATAGACAGGACTTTAAAGTGAACAATAAGAGTAGAGAGGTACACACTCCTTAGAACAGTCAGTCACAGGAGATAAAAAGGGCAGCATTTGGGACTCAGATTGCCCAGGAGTAAAGCACAGAAGGCAGGAAGGAAGACCAAATGGAAATGATAAACACAGGGAGAAAATGGTAAGAGTGATAAAAAATCCAACCCCAAACCAAACTTGTTGGTGTCAGATCGGTTTTGACTAATAGTGACCAGATAGGACAGAGTAGAACTGCCCCCCTAGGGTTTTCAAGGCTGTAATCTTTATGAAAGGAACTCTGGTGGCATAGTGCCTAAGGCATTTGACTGCTAACCAGAAGGCTGGCGGTTGAAACCCACCAGCCGCTTGGAAGGAAGAATGGGCAATCCGTGGTGATATTGCCTCAGAAAACCAAGGAAGGGTCACTGTGAGTCAGATCCAACCCAATGGCAGTGAATTTGGTTTTTTGGTTTTAATGTTTATGGAAGTAGGCTGCCACATCTTTCTTATACAGAGCAGCTGGTGGGTTCAAACCCCTGACCTTTTGGTTAGCAGCTGAGCACTTAATCACTGTCCCACCAGGGCTCTATTGGTCACATAATGAAGGGATGCAAATTACCTTCCTGAGTCCTTGGTATGTGTACTGCTTGGACAGTCCCCTCTTCATGGAGCTGAATCCTTCCTCTGAATTGGAGAGAGCAGTGTGGGAATCTCAGAAGAAAGACCCAGTTTTGCCAAGTTTCCACTGACTAATAAGAGTACAATGCTAAAGACATAGACAATACCCACTTACTATCTGAGTAAGGTTGTGGGGTAGGATTATTAACTATTTAATTCTATACCCTTTGTAACTTTTGGGGGCAAGTTATTTTTTATTGTTTCCTTGTTGTTGTTGTTGTTGTTGTTATGTGCCGTCGAGTCGGACCCGACTCATAGCAACCCCTCCTTGGGTTTCTGAGGCAGTATCACTACGGAAGTAGATTGCCCCATCTTCCTTCCGAGGAGTGGCTGATGTGTTTGAACAGCCAGCCTTCTGGTTAGCAGTCAAGTGCCTTAGGCACTATGCTACCAGAGCTCCTATTGTTTCCTTAGTGATTTGCAATAGAAACAAAGTATATATTTATGTAAGTTTGTTTTTGGTAATAGCAAGATACTGAAAAGACCTGAAGAACTGACTTCCCCCAAACAATCTTGAGGTGAACAGATTCTAACAGGCAGAATGGATAGAGACAGTAACTAAGAGAAGATACCTGATGCCTAGGTCATTGACTCTGGCTCAATAAAGGAAAAGAGCACAGGGGGTAGCTTGGGCCTATTTAGTATCATTTAGATGCCAACTATCATTCTAAGAGCAAATATGAATGAGTCAAGGTTCTGCCTTGGAGGAGCTTGCTGCTTGTTTGGGAGAGGATGCTCTGGGGCTTAACTTCTCTTCTCAGACCTTTATCTCAACTGTAGGAGGCAACACACTTTAATGATCTTATTAAATACTAGTGGCTAAAGCACTTGACTGCTAACCAGAAGGCTGGCGGTTCAAACCCACCAGCCACTCCTTGGAAGGAAGGTTGGGCAATCCTACTTCTGTAGTGATACTGCCTCGGAAACCCAAGGAGGGGTCGCTATGAGTTGGGCCGACTCGGTGGCACACAACAACAACAACATTAAATACAAATCAGATTTTGTCCCTGTTTACAAACCAAACTCACTGTCATTGAGTCAATTCCAATCCATAGTGACCCTATAAGACACAGAAGAACCACCCCATAGGGTTTTCAAGGCTGTCAAACTTTATGGAAACAGACTACTTCATCTTTCTCCCATGGAGCAGCTGGTAGGTTTGAAAAGACAATCTGTTTTGCAGCTGAATGCTTTGACCACTACACCATGAGAGCACCTTAGTCCTTGCTTATAACACCTCAAAGGCATTCAATTAGAAAAAAAAAAAAAAAAAAAAAATACCCTCCGAAACCAAACTCAAACCCCACTGCCATCGAGTTGATTATGACTCATAGTGGCTCCTTAGGATAGAGTAGAACTGCCCCCATAGAGTTTCTGGGGTTGTAAATCCTTATGGAAGCAGACTGCCTCATTGTTCTCTCATAGAGGGGCTGATGGGTTCAAACTGCCAACCTTTTGGTTAGCAGCTGAATGCTTTAACTAGTACCCAACAAGAGCTCCTGCAAAAGCAAAAATAAACCAAACTCACTTCCATCGAATGGGATCCAACTCATAGTTTTACTGCTCCTTGGGTTTCGGAAGTAGTATCACTACAGAAGTAGATTGCCCAATCAACTCTCAGAGGTGGCAAAATGGTGTATTAGACAACCCTCTTGGGCTGTGTTTGACAGGTAGTGTTTAGTTCGGTTCACTGTGACTTTAGCAAATGTGAGCCGACATTCGAAAATGAGGAAATGACACTTTAAAAATTCCAGTTAAAAAAAAATCACATTTCTGTTAGTTAAATAATCAGAAGATTTGTCATAGATGGGTGACAAGGATCCAAGGTTCTGTGGGTAGGGTAAAATGTGCTCTAGTCTTCTTGCAGGGAGCTCTGGTGGCATAGTGCCTAAGGCATTTAACTGTTAACCAGAACTGCAAGCCTACCAGCCACTCCTTGGAAGGAAGGTTGGGCAATCTACTTCCCTAGTGATACCACCTCAGAAAACCAAGGAGGGGTCGCTATAAGTCAGATCTAACTCGAGGGGAGTGAGTCTTCTTCCACAGGGCTCCTATCATTCAGATAAGTAGTTAGACCCATCAGTTATTTCTTCCAGTTTTGGCTACTTCTTGTTTCCTTTCTGGTTTGAACTTAAGGAATCTTCCCACACTACCTTATCTAAAGAAGAAAACCTATTTTCATCCTATTTACCTTGAGTTGCTATAATTGTATTTATTTGTTGTGTTTGTTTGCCTGCCTCCCCCACATAGGCTTTTCCAGGGACAGAATCATATCTGTCTTGATCCTATTATTTCCTTAGCCCCTAGCCTGGTACCTAAAACATGTTAAGCACTCAAATTTTGTAGATGTAGTAAGAAAAGATGGCAAGCAAGCATTCTCCCAGAAGGAAAACTGGGTTCTAACACTCTGTCATTCCAGGCTAATCACCTGATCTCTGTAAACCTCAGCTTTTTATTTGCAAAATGAGACTATCTTTTAGATTGCTTTCCATTCTATATCTAATGTTTACAGTCCTTTACAGTTTACAAAGTGCTGTGATATCACCTGAGTCACAGATTATTACATCTGACTCTCACAACAACTGGTGACTTATCATCATCTAAAATGTATAGATGTGTACAATGGAATTAGTAAACAAATAAATCAGTTCAGAACTGCACAACATAAGACAAGCTTGAGCTCAGAACAGAAAGAATGTAGATTTCCTAGAGAAAGTAGCCCAGCAGCAATCCCAGCCATTATACAAACAAGTCCTTGAGCCTTGTTTACCAATTCATTGGAAGCAAAGGTTGTTAATTTTCAGGGCTGCCATAACAAAGTACCACAAGGTGAGTCCCTTTAAAAGTATTGTCTCACAGTTCTAGAGGGTAGTATTCTGCATTTAGGATGTTGGCAAGGCCAGTGGTCTTTCTGAAGGCTCTAGGAGAAGATACTTTCTTATCACTACTGGATGCCTCAGGCATTCTGTGGCTTGCAGCTGCAGCTTAACTCTGTCAACACACATCTATCTTGCTTCTGTCTCTGTCTTTTCTCTTTTATAGGACACCATTCAAATAGGATTAGGGCCCACCCGACTCTGATATGACCTCCTGTTAACTGATAACATCTTCAAAATCCTATTTCCAAAGATGGTCATATTCATAAATAGTAGGGGTTAGGGGTTCAACATAAAGATTTTTTGGTTATGTAATTCAATCCATAACACTGTCTTTTCAATGCCTATGCTTAGAATTGGTGAAGCCTTCTCTTTTACCGTGTTCACTCAAAGACACTAAACAAAAAGATAATATACAACCTCTCTCTAAATTTGCCCAATCTCCCTTTATCCAAATCCTAACTACTCCAAGACCCAACCCAAATTCTCTCTTTTCTTAAATCCTTTACTGAGGGATTTCCATATTCTCTTAAATTATTTAAATGACATCCACTAGTATAGTGTGAATGGCAATAGACAATGAACAATTAATCATAAACAGACTATCTGATGACATTCTTTATCCTGAGCTGTTATTCAAATCTTTCGTATAAACTTTACCTTTGTTCATGTCTTTTCTTGTTTCCCCTCCTCTTTGAGGGTTGCAACGCTTTAGTCTTCTAATTTGCCTCCCTTTTTTCAAATCCCAAAACTTAATCCAGTGAGGTTATCACAGTGAACACTCATTGTTGGTGGATTTGATCTGCCCAGGAGATTAGTTAAAGATCCTTAGAAAAAGGCTACCTTGA